CGCATTGAGGTCACTTTGCTCATGGGAGGCAGGGAGGCAGCGGCTGGGCCGCTCTTGTTGGCCAGGAGGGAGGGGTCCCCGGTGGTCCAGAAGCCGCGGACAGCCGGTACCGAGGAGGGTTCCGGACAGGGCCCCTGCCTTCGCCCTCTGACTGGGCCCCCGGGCCCAGCACGCAGCGTGACCTTGGGAAGGAGGACAAGGGTCTTCCCGGGCGCACTGACCAGGCAGGATGGGGCGGGGGGTCTCAGCTTTCAGTCATGGCCTCCGGCAACGCGTGCATCGGCAAGCCCGCCCCGGACTTCCAGGCCAACGCCGTGGTGGACGGCGCCTTCCAGGAGGTGAAACTCTCCGACTACAGAGGTGAGGCCGGCCTGGAGGGGGCCCAGGTGGGGGCGGGGCGCGCGCGTCGGCGGTGCAGGGCCCTCACTCTCCTCCATTCCCTCCCCCTCCTCCAGGGAAGTACGTGGTCCTCTTCTTCTACCCGCTGGACTTCACCTTCGTGTGCCCCACCGAGATCATCGCCTTCAGCGATCGCGCCGCGGACTTCCGCAAGCTGGGCTGCGAGGTGCTGGGGGTCTCCGTGGACTCGCAGTTCACCCACCTGGCTTGGTAGGAGTGGGGACCCGCAGGGAGGGAGGGGTGCAGCCAGACCTCTGCCTCTACCGGGTCCCAGCTGTGTGTTCTAGTGTGGCCTTGCTCAACCTCTGCACCTCCCTTCCCACATCTTGAAAATAATGGAAATAATGACGCCCAAGTCTTTAAAGATGATGACAACAGTAATTAGCTTTTGGAATCTAGTTGCTTGGTGTGAAGTTGCAAACGCTTTATCTCATTTAGGGCAAAGCAGCCTCCCTCCCAGCAACTATTTCAAGAAAGTGGCAACTCCAGTTCAAGGGAGTGGAGGGCTGGGCCCCAGAGCCCAGCTGGAGAGGAGGATGGGCTCTTTGCCCCAGGAGGCTGGTGACCACCAGCACATGTGAAGCCACTTGGTTGGAATGAGAGCGTTAGCTTAGTCTTCCCAGCTGTGGGAAACAGCCCCTGCACCCGCATCAGGGTGGGGTGGGTGGGGCCTCCAGGGCCTTGCTCCAAAGCCCTTTATCTCTCTCCTCCAGCACCCCCTCTCCAGCCCTTATCACACCCAGGTCCACAGGGTGCGTGCCCTGCTGTGCGAGGCATCCTGAGGTCCCAGCCCTGTCTCCCCTACTCCCAGGATTAACACCCCCCGGAAGGAGGGCGGCTTGGGCCCCATGAACATCCCCCTGCTGGCTGATGTAACCAGAAGTTTGTCCCATGATTATGGCGTGCTGAAGGAAGAGGATGGCATTGCCTACAGGTAATGGGGTCCCCAGGGTGAGGGGACCACTCTTGGGCAATGTCCTCCCTGCCATTAGCCCTGTGGCTCGGTGGTTCTCAACCTTCCTAATGCCGCAACTCTTTCATACAGTTCCTCATGTTGTGGTGACCCCCCACCATAAAATTATTTTCCTTGCTGCTTCATAACTGTGATTTTGCTACTGTTATGAATCGTAATGTAAATATCTGATATGCAGGATGTATTTTCATTGTTACAAATTGAACATAATGAAAGCATAGTGATTAATCACAAAAACAATATGTAATTATATATGTGTTTTCCGATGGTCTTAGGCGACCCCTGTGAAAGGGTCGTTTGACCCCCAAAGGGGTCGCGACCCACAGGTTGAGAACCGCTGCTGTGGCTGGAAGGGAGATGGTGCTCCCTCCCCCGGCCCGGCCAGTGGGAGCTACCAGCTTTTCACTGTGAACCCTCATATCTTCAGGGGCCTCTTTATCATCGATGGCAAGGGTGTCCTTCGCCAGATCACTGTCAACGATTTGCCTGTGGGACGCTCTGTGGATGAGGCTCTGCGGCTGGTCCAGGCCTTCAAGTACACAGATGAGCACGGGGAAGGTGAGTGTACACACATTCACATGCCCCCTCTGTCACTCATGTAGACATTCACTGCCCGCTTTATCACCTATGTAACATGGATGTGAAGGCCCCAAAGAAGGTTCAGCTCAGGGCCTCATCTGCAGGAAGTTTCTAGTCTGATTGGGGAGATACCCCAATATGAGGGTGGGTAGCTGGGAGGTAATAAAAGTCTGCAGAAAAGGTATTTGAGAAGATGTGTGCCACGGCAGACTAATAAAATTAGTTGGGATCAGACTACCTTCGTGGGTGGAGGACACAGATTGACCATAGCCTCTCAAAGTCTAGTAGGGGTGGAGCTGAGGGAAAAAGATGGGGCTAGAGGGGCCAAAAAGAAATAAAAATATCAGCTACAAGCCCTGCAATTGGACTTGGGGGCTTCTGTCAACATGTGGTGTGGTCTTGGGCCTGGACCACTTGGCTCTGGGCTTTTTCTTCTGCAACTCGGGATCTCACCTTGCCTCTCACTGCTGCCCTGCCTTGAATATGGGGCTGTAGCCTCACATGTGCATCCTTGTGTCTTCCCACAGTCTGTCCCGCTGACTGGAAGCCAGGTAGTGACACGATCAAGCCTAACGTGGAAGATAGCAAGGAATACTTCTCCAAACACAGTTAGGCTGGCCGACAGATGCCAAGCTTCGGCTCTTGGCCCCCACCTGTGTGCCTGTGCTGGCCCAGGAAAGGCCAGGCCTGCCCCTTCAAATTCCTCAGTCCTGACCCTGAAGGGCTAGGCCAGGGCCTTCTTATATTCCTAGCTGAGTGGTGAATGGTGACCCATTGCTGGAACTCCCCAACCGGGCACAGGCCTAGAGGTGACCAATAAAGTATTAGGGACAGTTGTGAGTCTGTGTTGGTGTGGTCTGTTCTGCTGTCTCTTGTCAGTCCATGTCCCCCACCCCCTTCCCCTAAGCTCTGGCCTGAGAAACTGACACTGTAGTTACTTATCTGCACCACAGGGTGGCAGTGTTACCTCATGTACACTGTTTTCTCTCACCTTTGGCCTAAGGGCAGTTGTGGGGGATGCTATTTGCCCCTTGCCAAGAGCAAGACCCTGAACATGGCCTTGCAGGGCAGTCCCCACATCTTGCCATCAGCCAGGCTGGTTCAAATGTTATTTTAAGAGATGTGATCTTTCCTGATTTTCTTCATCAGGAAAATGGAAATAAAGACAACCAAGCCAGATCACCACGCATGTTAAAAGAGATAAAAGTATGGCCCTAGCCGATTTGGCTCAGTGGCTAGAGCCTCAGCCTGCGGACCAAAGAGTCCCGGGTTCAATTCTGGTCAAGGGCACATGCCTTGGTTGCAGGCTCCTCCCCTGGTCAGGGCTCATGCAGGAGGCAACCAAATGATGTGTTTCTCTCTATCTTTCCCTCTTTTCCACTCTCCCTAAAAATCAATGGAAAAATATCCTCGAGTGAGGATTAACAAAAATAAAAATAAGAGATAAAGTATATAAAGCTCAGGGCCCAGTGAATGGTTACTAGGGAGGGTTCCTGGGCCTGGAAGAAGAGTCCAGTTTTATGGGAACGAGGAGGGGGACCCAGTCCTGAGAACAGAGCCGAGAGTGGGAGCTCCAGGCCCTGGCCAGGTAGCTCAGTTGGTTAGATCAGTGGTCGGCAAACTGCGGCTCGCGAGCCACATGTGGCTCTTTGGTCCCTTGAGTGTGGCTCTTCCACAAAATACCGACTTCTGCGCATGGGCCACGAAGTTTCAATCGAACTGTACGTGCGCGCCCACATGTATTTTGTGGAAGAGCCACACTCAAGGGGCCAAAGAGCCGCATGTGGCTCGCGAGCCGCAGTTTGCCAACCACTGGGTTAGATCAAATACACCAAAGTTGGGGATTTGATCCCTAGTCAGAAGCAACCACTGAATACATAAGTAAGTGGAACAGCAAATCGGTGTTTCCCTTCCTCTCTAAAAGCTACATTTTTTTTTAAAGTGGGAACTTGAGCTACGTGCTTGGTAAGC